ATAGCAGAGTTAAAGAAAGAGATGCAAAATATGAATGCTCAGCATAGAAAAAATGGGAATCTATTAAAAAGGCACAGACAAAGCCCAGGAGATGAAAAGCACAATTGAAAGTGTGGTTAGTAGAAGCAATAAATGAAGGAAAGAGTGTCAGGTCTAGGGACAGGGCTGTAGTCAGTGATTAGTTAAGGGGAGACACTTTGAAAAACCACAGGAGAACATGAAAAATGGATTTACCAAGTCTTAGATGATTCAAAGAAGATTATTATGAATAACTGGAATTAGTGAAGAATCAGAAGACAATGCAAAGGACATTTAAAGAAATCCTCTGTTTATACAAGTAATAGAAAAAATTCCAAATGTGGAAAAATAGCTTAATGTACAGATAAGTGAGGCATATAGAACCCTTAATAGCCATGATCAGAAAAAGAAACTACTCCATGTAACATAATAATTAAAATACCAGAAGCACAATACAAGACTGCTAGAGAAAAGCACAGAATCACCTATGAAGAAAAACCCATCATATTTATAACGGATTTCTCAAAACAAATTTTGAAGGCAAAGAAAGCATGGACTGAAATGTGTCAAGCTCTAAAAGAAAACTCACAATCCTGACTGTTATATTCTGCAAAATTATCTTTTAAAATTGATGAAGAAAGAAACTACTTTCATACACACACACACACACACACACACAAAAAAAAAAAAAAAAAAAAAAAAAAAAAAAACATAAAGATGTTCATGGCCACCAAACACTCCAGAAAATTCTCAAAGATATTATATCAGGAAACAATGCCAAAATGTCTAACACGGTGAATACACCAGGTAGAGTAAATAATTAAATTTCAAGAGAAAGAGAGCAAAACAAACAGAAAAATAATACAATGATTAACAGAACTATTCAACAGGAAGAGACAATAAACATATATTCACTGAACTATGATGTGCCCAACTTCATAAAATGAACATTAATTGACTTAAAAGATCAGATAAACATAAACACGTGTAGTGTAGCACCTCAATAACCCACTATCACAAATAGACAAATTAATTGAACAAAAAATATCAACAAAGAAATATAGTTTTAAAAAACTTTTGAAAAAATGGATTCAATACTTACAAAGGAAAGAAAGACACAAAACAATGTAATTAGCAATGAAAAAGGTGAAATAATAATGGACACTGCTGAAGTCCAGAAGATTATTAGCAGCTACTTCATAAACATGTACATATTGCCATCCAGGTGTGGCAATGTGTGACTGTAATCGCAGCACTTGGGAGGCTGAGCCAGGAGGATCACTGTGAGTTCAAGGCCAGCCTGGGCTACGTAATGAGTTTAAGGCCAATCAGAACTATATAGGAAGACATTGTCTCATAAAACAACCAACCAACTAACCAAACAAACAAAAACATATGTCAAAAATTGGAAAACACAGAAGGAATGAAGAGATTCCATACATATGAATTACCAAAATGGAACCAAGAAGACTTAAAATCCTTGAGGAATTCTATAACAGACAATGACATTGAAGCAATAACTTAAAAAACAAACAAATAATAACAAAAAACCCTAAACTACCAACTGAGGAAAGTCCAGTACCTGATGTACTGACAGCCAAATTCTACAAGTACTTCAGGAATATTCTAATATCAATACTCCTCAAACCCTTTATTGAAATTGACAGGGAAAGATTACTTCCAAAATACTTCTTGGAAACTAACATTACTTGATCCCAAAATCAGACATGATCTAAGACAGAGAGAGAGAGAGAGAGAGAGAGAGAGAGAGAGAGAGACAGAGAGAGAAACTTCATATTAATTTCTCTAAAGAATATAGATGTATGGGCCAGGGATTTAGCTCCGTGGCATAAGTGCCTGCCTGGCAAGCACAAGGTCATGAGTTTGATCCCCAGTACAAAAACAAAACAAAAAATATATAAATAAACACACACACACACACACACACACACACACACATATATATATATATATATATATATATATATATATTATGCAAAAATCTCTAATAAGATACTGTCAAGTAGAATGCAGCAAATCATTGAAAAGATCATGCACTATGACCTAGTAGGCTTCATCCCAATGATGCAAGGGTGGTTCAGGTAAAAGTCAACAAATGCAATTCTTCACATAAACATAAGCAAGAACAAAACACACGATCACCCCAATAGATGCAGAAAAGGCATTTGACAAATCTAATATCCATTCATGATTTAAAACAAAACCTGAAGAAAATTCGGACTGAAGGACCATATCTCAATCTGATAAAAGCCATTTATGATCTGTCAGCATCATGTTAAATGGGGGAACACATGAAAGTCTTCCCACTACAATCAGTAAAAAGACAAAGATGTTCATTATCATCATGCCTGTTTGCAGTCCTTAAAACTTAGCCAGAGAAATCCAGCAAGACAAAGACATAAAAGGAATATATATTGAAAACAAGTCAAAATATCATTATTTGCACGATATATTCCTTTACTTACAAGACCTACAAAGCTCCACAAAAGACTTCTAGACTTGATATTCAAATTCAGCAGAGTAGCAAGATAGCAGGATATAAAATAAACACACAAAAATCAATAGTACTCGTATACACTAGTAATGAACTAAACTAATTTACATATAAATTACAAAAAAATAGAAATTAGGAAAACAGTAGCATTCATAATAATATCCAAAAAATTAATAATTAGGTATTAAACTGACCAAGGAAGCAAAAGATCTGTACCAGGAAAATTACGTCATTCTGAAAAAAATAAATCAACTAGGAAATTAAAAAAATGGAAAATAGGGCTGGGGATACAGCTTAGTGGCATAAGCACCTGCCTGGCAAGAACAAGGTCCTGAGTTCAATTCCCAGTACCCACCCCCAATAGTCCCTGTTCCTGGATAGAAACAAACATAGTCAACATGGCTGTACTTCAGAATTTGACATACAGATTTATGCAATCACAATCAAGATACCAATGATATTTCTCTGATCCACAGAGCAGAATCCTAAAGTTTCTATTGAGCCAGAAGAGACTCAGAATAGAAATAGCAAGCCTTGCTAGCAAAAGTAAAACAAGTAACATCACAACCTCAGACTTCAAGTTATACTATAAAGCTACAGTGATTAAAACAACATGGTTCTACCACAAAAATAGGCACATGCATCAGTAGGACAGAATAGAAAGTACAGAAACAGTATGTATTTGATCTTTGACAAAGGAGTCAAAAGCATACACTGAAGGAAAAATAAGTTAAAAAATAAAAAATCAATACATTGTGTTGGGAAAGCTATTTATTTGCATGTGGAAGATGGAGGCCAGATCCACATATCTCACCATATACTAAACTAAAGTCAAAATGAATCAAATATCTAAATATTAAAATAAAATCTTTTGGAAGGTAAAATAGGTACAAGTATTGAAAACATAGAAATAGGCAAAGACTTCTTGAACAGAACCTCAATGTCACAAGAAATAATACTGAGAACCTACAAATGGAATTGCATCATATCCAAAAGCTTCCCCCAGCAAAGGAAACAATCAACAGAGCGAAGAGATACCCTAAAACGGGGTGGGAGGGAAACTCTTACACGCTTCCTCCTGCTGAATACATAACCAATACCCTCTCCTCTCTTTAGCCAGAGGCAGCCACAGGATATGCAAATGCTGGCCCCAGGAGGCTGGAGCCCACTGTAAAGGTGACAGTGAGCTACAGATGACTGGAAGTGATAAGCAGGTATAAAGATCTGCTAAACATAAATCTCTGTTCTGCTGTGTTGCCACTTTCTGTTCCCCTCCCTCCTGTCCCTTACTACAAAAGATCTTTACCTGTCTGTACATGGGGAGATGGTTAATTAAGGTAATGGACTTCTTTATCTCCACAGAGCTAACTTTGAATAAACCCTTTCTCCTTTTTTACCAAAATATATGGCCTCCTCTGTTTGGGTCAGCAGGGAACAAACAAATCTGAACTTAAGTGGATAGTACCATTACTATTAGGAAAAAGGAGCAAACAACCAGATGTGTGTGCTCCATGGGACAAGTTTATTTCAGAACAAACCTGAGATGGACTTCCCCGGCACTTACACCAGACTGGTGATTCTCTTACAGACTGTAGGGTCGCAGTGGGGAAAGTTCAGGGAAAGGGTGTTGTGGCTTCCTGCCAAGGAGAGGAACAGGAGGAGTTGTTGCCCAAAGAGGAGGCTTGGGAATGCTAGGTACTGGTGGTTGTTAGCAGCAGCAGGGCTGGATAATGATGGGAGTTAGGGGTGTAGCTGTGCCATGTAGAGGTTTTGCAGTGGCCTCTAGCCAGCATGGGCTGGCCTTGGTCAGGTTCCTTTAATTACCGCATAAAGGTTTTGCAACGTGGGTTCAGAAGTCTTCATACTAGTGGCCACTTCCAATACAAATCTGAATTGGTGGCAAGACCAACCAACAAAACATAATGCGGTTCCCAGGAGATAGTTTCAGGTTGCTGCTCATGAAGGACAAGTGTCATACACACAGCAGACAAGAAGAAAACAGCTACAGACATAGGATCTCCAAATGATAGAAGGGAACTATTATAAGTCTCAACCTGCTAAGTGTGAGATACACCAAGTTCATGTTCCTCAAAATTGAAGAGTGAATTCTAAGGAATGATAGAGTAGGAAGTATTTACAATGGGGAGGACAGCTCCTGTGAGACAGGAGGGGGCCCAAGTGCATAGCCATAGATCCCACTTTCCACAGGAAGTTTTATAGAGCAAAATCACAAGATAGGTGCAAAATCACAAAGAGGTTACAATATGGGTGAATCAAGATTACAAGTATAGCTGCTTAGGTTATAATGGCCCACTCAAGAAAGTCATCCACAGGAAACCAAGAATTGAGAAACAAGTGAGACTTTATTTGGAACTGCAAGGTCACAGGCAAGTGCAGCTACTGACTCCAATCCTTTGTTTCCCTTTCTTTTTCCCATGTGTGAATTCACAAGGTCAGATGGTTGCCATGGATACCACTTCTTACAGCCTCATCATTACTTTGGAATGAGACCTTCTTACATATCTGGTGAGATGCCACACAGTAGGTAAGTACCTGGCCGTTTGTCCACCTTGAGATAATACAATTTGTTTCTCTTTCCATAGTTTATGGCCAGATAAAGGGAAGGTGGCCTTTTGGGAGGTTGGACAAAGTTCACTCACTGTTTGAAGTCTAACTGGTAGCTAAGCACCTAAACTATAATCGATGGGTTATAAAATAGTGAAGTTTTCAAAACTAGGGTGGCAAGGTTCTAAGAGAAAAGGACAAATAAAAAAAAAAAGCAAATAGCAGGGGATTACAAATGCCCTTACAAGGTAATGTTGATCCAATGGAGTTGCATAGCAACATAGAAAGAACAAGGATCTTTTTGAGAAGACCTGAGTCTACAGCCTGGTCACCCATTTGGGTGACTCATGTCTGTCTACACTTTATTGGACCAGGTGATAGCAATCACCTCCATGGGGAGGCATTAAGCCCTAGTCCTTTTGTCTCTGTCTTGAGACCTGGCCTTCAATGAATGTCTCCAGTCACAGTCATGATGTATGCTCCTTCTCTGCACTGACTCCCTCAAGGGCCTGTCTCTGTCTGACTGCCTAGAATATTTCTACCTAACTTAGCGTTCCATAATACCACACTTACTGAAGTTAATAGGGAAAGGTAGATTCATAAAGAGTGGGCTTGTACCAGCAGAAATGAAAAGCATGGCAGCAGTGGGGAGAAAATGGCATGGGGTGGCAGGAGGAGTGGATGGACTGTGGATAAATTGGGTTTTAGGATTCAAAAATGTACATCTTACCATGGCACCTCTCCCTGGGTCATTCAGGATGTGATTGACTATCATTGGCAGGGTGCTGAGTGAGCTCAATTGTGTCTACTGTGTATGTACTTTCCCATAATTCATGTTATTATAATTAGATGATGCTATGCACTCCATGTGTATGAATCATTAACAAGTTCCAAGTGAGGAAAGATCATTGTGGGTCATGAAGATGGCTCTAATAAGCATGTGCCCTGGCCTGGAATGTTAGAAATTTCCTGGGTCTTTATTTATTCTTATTTTTATTTCCCTTAGAACAAAGAGGCACTGCTCTGGGGCATTGCCTAAGTTCAGGTGAGTGGAGGGGTAGTGGTTCCATAGCATTAATTGTAATTATTTATATTAACTCCTATACTAATTTATTCCTCTTAATCAAAAGAATCAGTACAAGCTGGGTAAAATAGTGCACATCAGTATTCCCAGTAACATAGGAGGCAGAGGAAAGAGGATTTCAAATATGAGACCAGATTGGGTAATTTAAAAAGACTCTCTTCAAATAAAAATAAAAAGGTTAAAAAGATAGTGGATAGATAAGAGCAGATTACAGAGGCTGCCTGAGACAGACAACACAGATGCCAAAATAAAGCATCGTGGGGAGGCCCAAACAGAGGGAGATGGATCCTCTCAACCCAGGAAGAAACTAAATGGAAAAGAACCAGTCAAACATGCTGTCCCAGGGCTATTATTGGAGCAGCTAAGATTCAGGGCTCTCACTGCAGGGCCCAAACTTGTTCAGCCATGACTCATCGAGCCGCCCAAATTCCTGCAGCTTCTACTCATGGAACCGCAGTCGCACTGAAGTGCAGTCATACTGAAGTCAGAGGTCAGTGAGCCCAATGGAGAACGGAGCCGACAAGGGACCTGCATTGACCTGCAGTGAGTGCTGGGAATAAGACCCTTCCAAGGGAAAGGAGCACCAATGGGGTGACATTTGGAATCGGGAAGGACTGGCAGGAACAGCAGTGACTTCAGTCAGTTGTTCCCTTCCCAGACCAGATTGGTGGTGTATGCTTGGAGTGGGCCACATCCCTGCCTGGGACCCAATAAGTTGTCCGAAACCAATTCCCTATGCGTGGCACACACTTCCACAGTGAAGGCCTCAGCAAGTTGACTGACCCGGAGGGCAGGGCAGTATATGCCCCTGTTTGCACTTCAATAGCACATTGGAGTGGGCAGGATTACCTAGTCAGTGGGCTTCAGAAAAACCATAACCAACAAGGAAAGGGACTGGGACCTCCTGTATACACCTGTATGGAAGAAACCATAAACATGACAAGAGGAAGAAATAAGAAAAAGTCTCTAGCCCCCAGCCCTGAGAACACTGATCCAAGAGTGGTAAATACAAAAGAGATTGAAGGCAGCAAACATGCAATACCAGACACGGCATCAGTGGACATAAAGAGATATCTTTGGGACATCATAGATGAGCTCAAAAGTGGAATATTTAATCAAGTAAAGCAAGGTATGAGTAGATTAATAAAAGAAACGCTAAGCACCTCTCACCAAGACACAGATGAAAGAATGAACACAAAGAAAGGAGAGAAACATTCAGTGAAGAATATAAAGAAAATACAGAATACATGAAGCAGGTTCAAAGAGACTACCAGGAAATAAAAAAACTCCATTGAAAGCTGGCAAAACTGCTTGAAAAAACTAAGGATAGATTTTTAAAATTTGAAGACAGGTTTGCAATGTGTGATCATGAAAGGAAAAATTTCTTAAAAATAACAAGGAAACAGGCAGTAACAATACAAAAGCTAGAAGACAACAAGAGCATCTATAACTTAAGAATAAAGAATGTGAATAAAGAAGCAGGGATACAAACAAAGAAATTACAAAGGCTATTCACAAAAATAATTAAGGAAAACTTCCCAAACATAGGAAAAGGAAATGATATTCAGATGTATGAGGCATACAGAACTCCAGACACCCACAACCAAAACAGAGCCACACCCAGATATATAATAATCCAGATCTCAGAAATACAATATAAGAATAGAATATTAAAAGCCATCAGAGAAAAGAAACAGATCATCTATAAAGGAAAACTCATCAAAATTATGACAGACTTCTCAACACAGACCATTATATCAAGAAGAGCTTGGAGCGAAGTATTCCAAGCCTTGAAAGAAAATAACCTCCAGTTCAGATTGATTTACCATGCAAAACTGTCTCTAGGATTAATGGAGAAACAAGATGCTTCCAAGACAAAGAGGAACTGGGGGAATTTTCAACCACCAATCTAACCCTACAGAGAATACTGAAGGACATTCTAGAGAGAGAGAAAAGTACCAGGATTCCAGGAATGTGGCAGAGAGGCCTCAATGAATGGAGCAGAAAATGGAATGAAAGAGAAAAGCAGACAACTAATGGCAGAAAAAGAGCACAACAGAAATGAGACAGAGAAGGTTGGTTATAATCTCTAATATAGATGGCCTTGATACACCAAAGAGAGAGAGAGAGAGAGAGAGAGAGAGAGAGAGAGAGAGAGAGAAGAGAGAGAGAGAGAGAAACACAGGTAGAGTATATCAGGAGATAGGGTCCACCGAGATGCTCTTTATAGGAAATATAATTTAACCTGAAAAAGGGTTTATGGACCAAAAATCAAATATGAGAAAGCAATGCTGTATGGGACAGGGAACCAGAGCGTAATAGGGGTAACTCGACCAGCACCTGCAGATAGTTTGGAAAGTCAGGCTTTAGTATGTATAGGAATACAACTTGAGATCAAGTTCAGGAGTGAGAAGGTTCAGAACCATTTAGGTAAATAGCAGGTCCCCCCCCCAATCTAAAAACAGAGGGAATTGGTGAGACCCAAAAATTCACAGTGCACCCTCGGGGAGTGAAAGGGGAGGAATAGTCTAAAAAAAGAAGGCAGAGGATATCGTTAATAGTGTACCAGGATTTAAAACCCACATTACTCACACCGCTCTGCTTAGATAGTTTATATTCTGTCCCAGTTTGTCTACTTGCACTAGATCTGAGGACACAGATAGCTATCCCAAAAATAACAGGCTATAGTATAGTAATCATCCTCAATTTCCTATTAACTTAATCTGGAGCCCTGTATAACTTATACTGTTTTATCATGACTGATCTTAGTTAAATCTGGTTTGTTTGATAGTTGTTTGGTATCAACAGATTTTATTCAAAACTGTTATGTTTGATAGTATCAAGTCTGAGAGTATAGGCAACTATACTGAAGATGACAAGATTCACTACGATATCCATTCTGGTTTGATTATTATCTGTTTCTGAAATTTTACACTATCTACAAAGTTTTGTTTTTATTAATATTGTTATGTACTTCTATGTTCAACTTTGTACTATGCTGACGATATAGACAATTCTACTGAAGATAACAAGAGACAACACAGTAATCATTGTAGAACACATTGTACAGTGGTTTTAAATGACTTCTTCATTCCATGTATTTATAGGAATATGTTTTGTTTTGTTTCTCCCTCTAATATAGAAAGGATGGAAATACATGTTGAGACTTATGTATGCATAGAACCTATAAACAGTTTATGAGAACTGATCAGATAATGCATGACAAAATGAACAAGTACTTTGAAGGAAAAGACACTACAGTACCCAGTGCTGATCCTGTAGTACCATGATGTGAAATCCAGCAATACTATTATTCTTTGTTCAGAGTGATTTTAACCTGCTTTGGCTTGTTTAATCTTAACATAAATGAAGGTATGATAACTGCATGTATGTTTAAGTGTATAGGATTGATAACCATGTTACTAAGTTTTTGTTGGATAGTTGAACAAAACTCTTTGCAGCCTTGCTGTTTGAATCCCCACTTTGTATGCTTCACTTTTGTAAACTGAACAACTATTTGTAAGAGGACAACATGTAATCATCATCTAGTGATTTCTTACTGTTTTTTTTCTTTGAAGGTATGTATTATTTCTACCCTTTTTTGTTTTGTTTAGTCTTTAAATAAAAATTTAAAAAAATTTTTAAAAAAGTAAGGTCTAGTGATATAGCTCAGTGGTACCAGCCTTGCCTAACATATGTAAAGCTTTTACTTCAATCCCCAAGGCTAGGGTGAAAAAAGATACAGTGCACACTATTCAATGCAATCACTTTTTTTTTGAGACAGGGTCTCACTATGCAGTTTGCGCTGGCCTTGAACTTGCTTTGTGGCCCAGGCTACCCTCAAACTCATGGCGCTCCTTCTGCCTTAATTCCCTGAGTGTTGGGATTATTGCAGT